TTTTTTGGGGGGGGGGGGTGTCCAAGCGCAGCTCCATGCATTATACAGAATTTGTCCCCAGGGTTCACTTATTTGTTGACAGAAGACATGGCGAGACTACGGGCTGGGGCTTGCTGCTTATTGCTGCTCTTGTGTGGAAAGGAGTAACCTCCTGGTGAGCCAGAGCAGAGGGGAAGAGGGGGATTATGATCCCCTTGAAATGCCACTCTTGGTACTTAATAATTGCCAAGGAGTTTTGCATGGCAAACCAATATTCTGGTTGAATTTAACCCTCCTTATCATCACTGTGAGGTTTAACTCATAAGAAGGCTGGAAGTATGTCACAGCCAGTCCTTCCATGTCGCTATTAGCAGATCCCACTGTATTAATGATGGAGGTTAAAAAACAGAGCACAGCTCTTGATCATATATATATATATACTTGTTGAAGCAGTTTCTGTGTATGCATATGTACGCACACTCGTTAGTCAGCAGTGACATCTCAACCCTTAAAGGATCCTGGACGACCGTTGCTTGTTGAAAAGCGCTCAGATCAGGCCCACATGTTTGGCTTTTGCTCTCAGCATACATTTACACTAGATGTAAAGACAAGGAATGTATCAAGAGGGTAAACACATTCCTATGGACTCTGTTATGTATATTTTGTTCCTGTTATATTGGCTTTACTTCCAAAGTTGTAGTTTGCAGTATTAGTTTCTTTTTGTTGGTATCCTTGCATCTATATTCAATAAATGAGTTCTGAATTTCATGTTTGCATATCTGTCCTTCTTATGAAAGCATAATGTTAAAGCTGGATGCTGTTGCATGTCATGTGAATGCATAACTACAGTGTATCTTGTTGATAATTGATTGTTTCATAGTGAGGGGGTTAGAGAGCTGTTAACCATAATTTAGGTGCACTGAAGAAACTATCAGCTAATTGAGTGTAGGGGGAAGTGCACATTCGAGCTGTAGGAAGAAGTGCAAAATAAAGTAGTCCTGGGAGGAGGGTGGAGGACATTTCTGAAATGTCTTGGTTTGTTAAGCTGTATACTTCCCTGGAGGTAAGAGGACCACACCTTTTTAATGTTCTTCTAGGTCATACTTCAGGCAAGCCCCACAGGAATGTGCTTTGCTAGTTGCATTGGTGTAAGCTTTTGCCTAAAATAAACTTAATTTATTTTGTCCTAACTCATAAATAAATATGCAGTGAAAAAAAATCCAAATGAAAAGGAAAAAGTCTGAACTGTGAAGAACTAACTGAGATAACTCTCCCATGGACTTCAATGAAAGTTGAACCTATAGCTCCCACGGACTTGAGGGTTGGCCCCCAAAAATCCCTGCACCGTAATCCAGTTTGATTGATAGTGCAGTTGACTTTGACGCTTGTGAAACAACCTACTGCTTGAGTATGTGTCCGTGGGGCATGTGCACCCCAGGCACTCAAGCTGTTGTGGTCCACAGTACTGGTATGCAGTTCAGTGTCCAAGACCCTTGTTTCACAGAAGATACCTGAGGCTTTAGATGGGCAGTTCTTCCTGACTATAGGATACTGCCATTCAGCTTGTCAGCAGCACCAGTGGTATTCCCACAATGTCTCCAGGGAGATGCATCTTAGCTCAGGAAACAACACCAGTCAGTTTACCTGTACTGAGCTGACAGGCTCATTCCTAGGCAGTCTCAACAAGCAGTAATCAACTGACTTGGTACAACAGACTTCAACTTTTCACCATCCCATGCCTAAATGTAAACTAAGAAAAGCCAGTGCTGGCTATACCTCAAAGGGTGGAGTTGATCGGATTGGATTATTGCTGTCCTGGGTTTGGACTCCAGGATGGCAGTAGCCTTTCGGTTCCAAGCAAGTTTTCAAGCCATGGTCTCTTTGACTTCTAGGATACATTTCCTGTTGCCTGTACACAATGCAGGTTTCACCTTTGCAGTGCAGAAGGATGGATGAAGTCTGTGTATCAGTGAAGCAGGCCTTGCAGGGGTACATTGGTGTGCCCTACAATTCCAGTAGCCATCAAACTGAGAGAAGGACTGTTGTCTCCACTGTCAAAAAGGTGGTGACACCAGATGCGATCAGACTGAGCAAGGAGGTCCACTGCTATGCACCTGGAGACAAACTCAAGAGACTCTTCATGTAAAAACTCTCAGAGTTGAAGGCCATATGCCAAGCAGGTGTAACTCTCCTCAGTTCTGATGCTTCCTCTTTTCCTGGGTGACCTTTCAGGAGTCTTGCTCCAGGGGAGGACAGTGTGAGCAGCTTCTTTCAGATGCATTTCTCAACTCCTGGCCTTCACGTCTAATGACTGCTTACTGTCTAATTCTATGAATCCCAAGACTATTCAGGCAGGATTCAACCAGGATAGTTTGGATGGCTGTACCTAAAGCCATCTCTTCATTCAGTCCTCCAGTCCAGTCATCCTTCTGACCAGATGTGATCTCAGGGGCAGACTCGTGGTGTCTCACCGCATGAATGGTGAGTAATGGTAGTTGGAGGTAGCTGACTCAATTCAGGAAGTGCCTTGCACAAAGAGCGCCTTCACGCAAATTCCCAGTGCAACCATGTAGGGTAGCTAATGAATGGTGATTTCCCCACCCCCCACATGTACTGTGCAGATGCTTCCCTATGTAGTCCCATGGGAGTACCATTTACTTCATTTAAAAATTCAACATTTTATGGGCCCTGTGAGGATCCAGGCAGGAGAAGTCGTCTCCATTTCCTGGCCTATATGCTGGTATCTCCACCAGTTAAAAAGATACCCCCTTCCTCCTGCCTGTAAATATTGTACAGATAAGGTTAATGTACCCACCCTTTTAATCAGCAGCTCAGCGTTCCTCTCTGTTCAGCTTTTCTGTGCTATAGCAGTAGCATCTGCCCCAGATTAGGAGAGATGGAAGCTTGTTACATAGCCCTGTCAAATGCTTTGTTCACAAAGATGGCGTGAACCTAAGGCCTCATCTGAAATCTTTGCCAATGACAGTCTCTGACTTCTGCCTACTGGTGTTTTCACCTAAACCCACATTAGAATATGGGTATAAAACTTGCTTTGCACCCTCCAGCTCAGAGACCCTGAAGCATGCCCTTTCTGACTAACTTACAGCGATATGGTGAAAAATCAGGCCATGTTGACATGGGGCTTCTCTAGTAGGATTTCCACTTAAGCTGTATTGTGAAACAGTTGACTCGGACACTCCCATGAGAGCAACAGCTTATTTTGTGCCAGTGGTTTCTGTAGCTTCTTTAAGACATGTTCCAGTATTAGAGAGGATGTATGGCAGCTTCTTGGGGTTTGGCTTCATACGGGACCCCAACTCTACTCCAAAACATGAGCATCAAGACCTGGATGTATTTTAGAAGGGCTGCCTTGCAACCCATTTTTAAGCAGTCTCTAGCACCCCTTTCCTGTGGCCTGCATCACTGCTTGCAAGTTGCCAACTCAGAGACAGAGTAACATCTACTTCCAGTAACTCGGGCTCTTTTGTGATGGATGGTTCTTAGCTAGTTCGTGCCCTCCCTCCTTTCCCCATTGCCAGGGAATTGCATAACCCTGCTATTTTGTGCTGGTGAAAGAACTGAAGGGTGTTGCGGGTCACATTGCCCTTCATGCTCTCAACTGGAAGAAAGTACTTGGGGCATAGATGCAGCCCTAGAAGATACCACCAGCTAAAGGATTTGAATTAAAATGCACTGACCCAGCCACAGAGGCATACTCTGGACCATACCCCT